GTCCACGAAAGCTTATGCTCTAATAAATTTGTTAGTCTCTAAGGTGCCACAAGTACTCCTGTTCTTCTTTTATATAGAGAAGATAAACTTTAATGTAGATTTGAGTGAACAATCAAAAATAAATGTAAAGAATTCCATTTATAAAAATATGGTTAGATGCTTGTTTTTGAAATACTGTTGAAATGGAAATTAAAATATTCTTGTATTTCAATCTTGCATAATTACATTTTCTAAATTAGAACAATTTCTCATTTTTGTTTCTCTCCATATTTTCCATTGAGGTTTCACAGGGGTAGAAATTCTGACAGGAGTGACTGATTCCCGTCCGTCACCATCCGCTACCCCGGGACAGGGGACGGGGTAGTCTGAGGGGCAGCAACAACCACTAGCTGCCGCTCAGTATTTCTTACCAGTCTCGCCCTGCGCTGGGAGCCGTCTCACACTGCACAAGGAAGGAGCAAGGGAATAGGGGGAGAAGCTGCCTGGGCTCCTTCCAGCAAGTGGGTTCCATACATCCAGCCTGGGCCCATCAGTCACACAGCCCTGGGGCTGGGCTCTCACTCCATGTCCCCTGGCCCAGCCACCGAATCCCCTTCCCCAGCTCTTCCCCACCCCCGCCACACACACACACGCACGCAGAGCGACCCGTACAGCAGGGCCCCGGCGCTCTCACTCCTGCCCCCTGGGACCATTTCACTCCCCTCCGTGGGCAGAGACTCCCCCAGGGCAGAAAATGCCGGGATCTTCCTGTCGCTCACTGGCCCTGTCGCACTCACTGGGCTCCTCTTCCCCGCTCTGTCATTTCTGCCAGGGGCTCTTCCTCCTTGGGGCCTCTCTCCCCTCCCTCTTCTTGCACCCCCCCCCCATCTTCCTCCGGTGATCTGGGCTCTTCCCTTCCTGACCCTCAGCATCCACCCGACATTGCACCCACCCATCCACACCCCAGCCCCCACAGCCCAGCAGGTGGCTTCCCCCTTCTCTTCCCCTCTCGCCTCCCCCAGCTCACAGGCCTGGGGCTGGGAACTGAGAGGGGACGGGGCGGGGGGTCAGACAGGTGATGCCCTTTAGACCATCCCCCGGGAACAGGCCTGGGGGCTGGTCAGCGCTGGGAGGGGCCAGTCTCTGCCGCGGGGTCACTGTCAGGGACACAGATTCCCTCCAGGGTTGCCAACTTTCTGACCAAACGAAACTGAACCCCCTTCTCTGAGGTCCCGCCCTGCTCACTCCACCCCCCTCCCTCCGTGGCTTGCTCTCCCCCACCCTCACTCACTCGCTCATTTTCACTGGGTTGGGGAGGATCTCTTTACAACCAGGTGTATGGTTCCAAACTGGACACCTGGCCACCCTAATTCCCTCTGGCCTGAGCTGAGACCGGGCAGATTATCAGGGGAGCTGCGTTTGTACCCTCAGCATTGAGACCAGGACAGAAACAAGGGCGGAGCGTCCCGGAGAAGGTGTCGGTGAAAGTGAAGAGAAGGGACCTGTCAGTCACATTGTAAAATGAGACCTCGCCTGCCTCATAGTCCAGGAAAATCCCCACCCGCCTGGGCCTGACGCTCACGGGGAGGGGGATCATGGAGGAGGTACAGGTCTTGTACCCTCCATCCCTCAGCCACACGACCCAGTATCCATTCCCAGGTGATGCTGTGACCAGCCCCTTCCTGCTCACGTATTCCCTACAAACCCCCAGAGCCCATCTCGTCTTGTCTCCCACCTCCACCTCCCAGTAACGCCGCCCGCCCGCAAACCCCTCAGCACCCAGGACAATGGGACACGTATCAAATCTCTCAGGGTTGTCAGGCAGATCCTGGCATGTGTCTCCGTATCTCACATGTTTTTGATCCTCAGACAGGATGAGGTGGGGATTTGCCATGTCTGGATCCAGAGTCACGTCCACTGGGGAGAGAATCACAGAGTCAGTGCTGGGTGCAGTGGCCGGTCACTGGGATCAAAGGGAATTTAACCTGCATCCCCGTTAATCGCTGAGTGGGGAGGGGGGCTGTTGGCTGAGGGGAGTCAGGGCCCCTCTGCCTGTGAGGAGACAATGATGGGGAAGGGCAGGGGTAGCGGGGCAGGGGTGGAAAGGTGTCAGTGGGGGAGGGGAGGGGACAGGCTGATGCTGCGAGAGGGAAGGGGAGGGGCAGGTGACAGGGCAGAGGCGCCTGGAGGGGCAGAGGGGGGCAAGCACAAGGGCAATGGGGGGCAAGAGGAGCAAGTACCAGGAGGACAGAGGGGGGTGAAGGGAGGGGCAGGTTCCAGGGGGCTGCGGGGGATGAGGGGAGGGGTGGGCACCAGGGGAGAAGAAGGGGACAGACCCCAGGGGCACAGGGAAGCCAGGGAAGGGATGGGCACCAGGGGGCAGAGGGGTGTGAGGGAATGGGGGCGTTCCAATGGGGCAGGGGGGATCAAGGGGTCAGACAGGTGCTAGGGGTGTGGGGGATGAGGAGTGGGGCAGGTGCCAAGACAATGGGGGGGGGAGTGAATGGGCAGCACCAGGGGGACAGAGTGAGGCAGGATCCCGTGGACAGAGGGGCTGGCTAGAGCAGGGGCAGTCATCAGTGGGCTGAGGAGGGCAAGAGGCGGGGCAGATGCCAGGGGATTGGGGGAGGTGAGGAGAGGAGCAAGTGCCAGGGGGGCAGAGGGTGATGGGAAGGGGGGCACAGGGGAGGTAAGGAGGAAGAGGAGGGGCAGGCACCAGGGCCGTAGAGCATGAGTGAGGGGCAGGGCTTGTGCCAAGGGAGAGAGAGAGAGAGACATAGGATGGGTGGGCACCAGGGCCAAAGAGGGGCAGGAGAAGGGGCGAGCTGCACTGGGGCACAGAGGGGGGAGAGGGAAGGGGCTCACACCAGGGGACACAAGGGATGAACAGAGGGCCAGGCACTAGGGAGGCAGAGGGGTAGTAGACGGAGAGGCTGCATCCAGGGTAAAAGGAGGGGTGGGGGGAAGGTGCAGGTGACAAGGGGAGTAAGGGGGGCAAGGGGTGGGGTAGACCCCAAGGGGCAACGGGGGAGTGAGGGAAGGGGTAGTCACCAGGAGGGACGGGGGGGTTGAGCAGAGGGGCAGATGCAAGGAAGGGAGAGAGGAGAAGGGCATGCCCCAGGGGGGAAGTGGGTTGCAGGAGAAATTCACAGCTACTGAATGTACCAAGTGCCAGGCACCAGACCGCAGGGAGGACGCGGCAGTTGGAATGGCCAATACCCCGGGCTC